CACCCCACTAGTTACCTCTCTCCAGGATGAAGAGAATCCAGTGGTGAGCACCATTTGGTTTTGGTCAGCCAACCAATTACAAATCCACCTAACAGTAGCACTGTCTAGCCCACATTCTACTAGCTTCCTTGCAAGAACATCATGGGGAACTTTGTCAAAGGCCTTACTGTAATCAAGATAGGCTACATCCACAGCGTTCCCTTCCCTAGAGTTACAAGCCTGTAACTCTATCAAAAAAGAGATCAGATATTAATAAGGTGTTGTATAACAGCAGGCTATTGCTCAACTGAGTGCAATCTTTTAACTTTATTTAGAAGCAGTCAAATTGAAACTGACTGGAGAAGAAAAATAGATATTTTGAGATTCTGGTATCATTCTCTGTGAGATTTATTATTTATATATTGTCTGATAAGTGAGTACACAATAATATGGGTAGTGTACAGTGTACACCCCATCTCCTTTCCCACAACAACATAATTAATACCGCAAAAAAAAAAGTTCAGGCCCTGTCATTTCTGATTGCAGCGAGTAGCTCATGTAAGCAAATATGCTTCCATTTTACAAACAAACCCCCCCCCTTCCATATAAAAAAAAGATGTCAGAAAAAAGTTTATAGCTTAGCCTGTACATTAGTTTTGTATGGAAAACTAATATTGACAGTAGTTTTATGTGTGGAAAGGGTTTTTTTTTGATTGGTGTTTGTGAAAACTGAAACATGTAACATGGAGCTGCAGAGAGAAATGGTGCAGACCAGACACTTAAGCAACAGGCAAGCAGTAGATGCCTTTAATAGAAAGTGAATTCTAGTGATTTCTGTAGATTTTACTTTCAAGTAAATGTGTTGAGAATTGCATGTGGCAGGGTATTTTGCATCATAAACCTGAAAATGCTGAGGCAAAGACCTGCTGAAGTTAATATGGTTAAGTACTGATCTAGCACTGTAGCTTATACTGTACAATTATTAAAAACATGCTTTCTCCTTTATAAACAGTTTTAGCTCAGAGTCCTAGCCATCGTTTCTCCAGAACTGATTGTCATTCTTCAGTGCTTCCTTGTTTTGGCAACTTACTGATTTCCACTAGATATTATGCGAAAAAGTAAGTAAATAATTCTTATTTCTTTAGTGAGTAGAAACAATATTTTTAAAACATGAGACATAAATGATATTATTGAGTAGGGCTCAGGTATGCATGCCATTTGTAGCTGAGTTCGGATAGGCAATGGGTTCATAGATTGTCAGTGTAATTTTAAATTCTTTGGTTGTGATCATGTCTCTTATTCTTCATGCCTTAACTACTGCTGGATAGCTCAGTTAAGGTATCTGGCTGCGTGGCAGAGGTTGGACTCTCCCTCAGTTGTGCCTCCTTGACAAGGAGTAGATTCGATCGGGTCGCTCCCAGCCCTGCGGTTCTAAGTTGTTGTTGTTTAACATTGGTGAAAAATGTGTTTATACCTCATTGATTACATTTGTTACAGAAGAACTCAATATGGTGAAAGTGAAAAGCTTTGCAATTTGAATACATATACAGTGGTGCCTCGCTTAACGAGTCCACCGTTTAACGAAAGATCCGTATAGCGATCCCATTTTGGGGATCGCTATACGGATCAGCCCCAATCGCCGCACTCGCTTTGCG